AAATTGCATTAGTTAAGTTCTTTATTTGTGTATTTTATATAGATTATCTCCAATTGTATATTTTTGCACATTTTCAGGTCCATTGGCCAAAAAGAAGCAAGAAGGATGCTTTGTGGAGTTTTGAACATCAAAGGTGCCAATTCTGAAATTCTGGCAGCAGTGAAGCCCAAACTTTGTTCTCCATTTTGACCTTGAAAACTCAAGAACTGGACTTCCATTATAGAATGGCATATTTAGAGCTCTGAATTAGCTTTCTAAATCTTCAAGCAGTTCATCATTCGGAGCTCGGAGGAGAGAGTTATGGCCTTGTTCCCAGAGGTGCGCAGAACTGCCTGGCAGCAATGAAATTCTGCCTTGATCTTCATTTTCGACCAACCATCCTTGAGAATTGGATCTCCACCAAAACATGAAGTTTTTAGAGCTCTGAATTAGCTTTCCAAATCTTCAAACGGTTCATCATTTGGAGTTTAGAGCGCAAAGTTATGGCCGTTTTACCAAAGTAGGTCCGGGCGGAGCAAACCAAGCATAGGGCATTCTAGCCAATTTTCGAGTGCTCGAGGCCTTATTTCGAGTGCTCGAAATTAGGGCAGATTGCTTCACGAGATCAGCAGTGGAGTTAGGACTTTGCTTGCCATTTTGACCCAGAAAGCTCGAGAACTGGACTTCCATCATAACATGAAAGATTTAGAGCTCTGAATTAGCTTTCTAAATCTTCAAACGGTTCATCATTCGGAGCTCGGAGCAGAGAGTTATGGCCTTGTTACCAGAGGTGCGCAGAACTGCCTAGCAGCACTGAAGTACTGCCTTTCTCTCCATTTTCGACCAACTAGACTTGAGATTTGGGTCTTCATCAAAACATGAAGTTTTTAAAGCTCTGAATCAGCTCTCCAAATCTTTAAATGGTTCATCATTCGGAGTTCGGAGCGCAAAGTTATGGCTGTTTAACCGAAGTAGGTCTGGGCGGAGCAAGGCAAGAATGGAGCATTCTGCTCCAATTTCGAGTGCTCGAGCCCTTATTTCGAGTGCTCGAAATTAGGGCAGAATTGCATCCGTAAATGGCCCATTTTCAGCCACTTGCATCTTGGGTTCCTCAATTCTAATTTCCCTCTTTAATGGTTGGTTGGAGATGTTGGTTGGTGGGGATTTTTTGAGCCTTATCTCTAGAAGATAAGAGAGGGAAGCCACACAATACATTAAGCTTCATTTTTTTACAAGATAGAGGAGAGAGAAGAGAGCAAGAAGGAGGAGTTCTTGAAGCTTCAAGGAGGGTGCACGAAAATGGAGATGAGGATCAAGCTTCTTCTTCAATCTAGGGCCACCATAGGTAACTAAACCCTCTTCTAGGGAGGTGATGAAGCCCTCTCTAGTAAGCATGTTCTAGCCTTAGTTTATTTTGGGGAAAATGATGTATATATGTGATTATTTCACAATCTAGAGTTACACTTGATGTAATGAACCTAAATTCTTATAAATGATTATGATGAATGTATTATCTTATCTTAGATCATATTTTCTCATGATTGTATGCCTTGCATTTCTATAATGACATTGGAAATGAGATTGTGAAATGGGTTTCTTGGCATGTTGTATGAGAATCTTGATATTCCATAGCTTAGGACCCTCCTTTGATGGACTATTCTTGACTCTTGACTTCATGTGCTCCTATCATGTGATTAAAGGCTTGATAATCTCTAACTTAGTAAGCATGTCCAAGGCTACACACTAGTTTAGGTAGTTCAAACATGTACATCTTTGATAGGTTATACTTGCCATTGATTTCATGAATTTCTTGAAGGAATGTAGCAATTTTGGTTGTAGCATTCCATGGTCACATATTTATGTTGTTTCCCCAATTTAGCTCTAATCTAGCATGTGTTTAGGGATGGAGCGGATTCATTTCCTTAGGCTTCTCTACTTGTATTATATCTCTTTACTTCCTAGCACATTACTATTTTATGCATTCTAAGTTCTAAGTTTTAGTGACAAACAAAACAAACCCTCTACGAACTCCCCTTATCACTCTAAAATGACTCTAGACACTTAGGTTGCCATAGATTAGCGCAGTCCCAGTGGTTCGACTTACCCGACCAATAGCCCTATTTTACAATGATTCGTGCTATTGCGAAGGTTGATGTTAGTTGATCAACCGATCAGGTGCGCAGGTTGCAGCGTATGCAAGATAATGGAATTGATTCCACCATACATGATGTAAGCTCTGGCGAGGTATTAACTTCTGACAGTAAATTTCCTAACTTACCCACTTTTGACTATATACGAGCCTTAGGCGAGACTCTGCTAAATTGTGATGCTCAGGAGGATACATCAACCCGGCTGAGGGAGGAAGAAATTGAAAGGCTGGCGCTAGACGTCTCGCCTCATGTGACTATACGACAGATGCCCATGCATACTCACGTGGCTGCAGTGGCAGAAATAATGCGAGAGTACTCGGGTCCAATAGAAGTAGCCCATGATGGGGTGCCTATGACTGAAGAAATAGATCGTGCTAGAGAGGGGGATAGCCCTACTCGAGATGATGTGCCTCCCAAGAGTGGGAACGAGGGGTCTGAGCCCCCAGAAGACGAGGGTCTAGACCAGATAGAGGAGCAAACCATTAAATCGCCTAGGGGCGAAGATGTGGAGATGGCCTCAGGGCATGATGAAACTACAGGGATGGCCCAGGCCTCGCCTGTGGAAGTGCTAGGTTCCTCGCCACCTCAGGAGGAAGAGGTAAATGGGCAAACCTTTGTGAGAAAGGAGGAAGCGCTTAATGAGAGACGGTAGCCCACCCCTGCAGAGACACAACTGAGGGGGGACTTGCATGAAAATAAGGAAGTAATAGTCGAGGGAGGGGGAAGCCTTCGCCCCTAGCAGAGCCTCGAGTCGCGCAAGACTCTCTAGAGATGGACATAAGGGAGGAGAAAGTAAGTCAGGTCTCACCGCCTATTGCTGAGCAAATGCCAACAGACTCACCTTTGCGAGGGGGCTTGGAAGGGGAACAAGTTATTACTGCGGGCCCATGAACGCAGGGGGAAACTGGCACGGAACGAGATATGGTGAGTGCAGAAGTCGAATAGATGGGTATGCTATTCCCGCGCACCTATGTAAAGTTGTTAGAGGCAGCCCTATCCTATCATCCTGAGGTGTCTCAGTTCTTGTCATCGCGTCATGCCCTTATACGATAGTCAATGTACCTATGCCTTGAGAAAATTTTAAAAATATTTGTTGATATTAAGCAGGGCTCAACAAATGAAAATCTGATAAAAGAGGCCGCACTCCTGCTGGAAGATGTGCAGCTGCTCGAGGTTCCTATTGCGTGGTTGCGAAAGAGGCTATTGGTAGCTGAGAAATGCCTAAGGCAGAGACTTCTTGCACCGTACATCCAAAGGACACGAGCTTGCATTGAACAAATAAAGGAAGAGCTGACACAGGAGCGAGAGAGCCTAGCAGTGATGGTGGCACATGCGCAGAAGCTGGATGATGATTACTCGTTTCTATCCTCATATAGAGACTAGGCTTGTGTTTGTTTGTATGCTATTTTTTTATTATTATTTGTGCTGTATGTAATAGTTGATAATTGGCCAAATGTAATATCAAAAAGGAAAATGAATGGAAAAAAAAAAAAAAAAAGTGGGTCCATTTCAAACTCCAAGTGCATTTTCTTATGGTTTTTTATTGATTGTTGTGCTGCGAAAGGGATAGTGTCATGTATGGATCAAAAGTGATTGTCTTAGCAAAATAAGCACGGTGAAAAAACACTTAGCAAAAGTAGTGTTTGAGCCAAACAGTGTTAATTGGGTTAGGATCAGAGCCTTCGAGAGTGCAATAACCACTATTGCCAGCTATCTTGACAACGTATGGGCCTTCCCAATTAGGGGAAAACTTTGGAGCTGAAAGGCCACATATGATGTGCGGGGTTGCTAAAGGATGAGGTCGCCTGGCCTGAATTGTCGAGGTTGAACATGTTTGTTGTATGCCCGCGAGATGTTGCGCTGATACTGCTGAAGATGCTGCAGAGCTATTTCGCGTCTCTCGTCAAGCACCTCCAATTCGTGATCTCAAGACAGGTGAGTCCCACTTCACGAGGCGAGTTGTGCTGCGGGATCGTGATGTCTACCAGTAAGAGGGCCTCCGTGCCATAGACAAGGGAGAAAGGGGTCTAGCCGGTGGAACGCTTGGAAAAAGTGCGATAAACCCAGCGCGCAAAAGGCAACTGGTAGACCCATGTGGTGGGGCTTTCTTCTAGAGTACGACTTAAAATTCAGAGAATGTTTTTATTTGAAGCTTCTACTAGGCGATTGTCCTGTGGATAGTAGGGAGATGATCATTTATGCTGGACATTATACTATGAAAGTAACCGTCAAACTCTGCAGTTGACAAAAGGGGTACCATTGTTAGTGAGGAGGCAATGGGGAATTCTAAAGCTGCATATGATGTTCTCCTGGATGAAAGCGGTAACAGCTCCGCCAGTTGCATGTTTCAGAAGGATGGCCTCGATCCATTTAGTGAAAAATTCAGTTGCCATAGGATCCACATGTGACCTCGCATTGGGGGATGGATGGGCCCTATGAGGTCGAGGCCCCATGTGTGAAATGGCCAAGGAGCCTCAATGGGATGGAGAGGTGTAGCTGGAGTATGAATTTGATGGTGATGGTGTTGGCAAGGCCGGCACCGCTGCACGTAAGACTTGGCATCGCGTGCTATTGTGGGCCAACAAAATCCTTTGCGCAACAAGTGCGCAAAAAGCTTGCACGCGCCTTGGTGCTATGGTTGATGAGCCAGTTTGAGCGCTTCCATGGCCTCACCCAGTGCCAGACATTGTAAGTAGGTGTCATTGAAGGTGCGGCAGTAAAGCTCGTCTTCACGGAATGCGAAACGTGCAGATTTGCATTTGACTTTTGCGGCAGTCCGCTTGTCCATTAGGAGAGTGCCCCGTGATAGAAAGTCAATAAACGGGCGACGCCAGTTAACAACTTCGAGAACACAAGCCTCAATTTCGTCCATCATGGCTTGACACTGCGAGTAGGTGCCTTAGAGGGCGTTCGCCTGTACAACCATATCGGGCCAGTAATAACCCTGGCGCTGGAGTCACCGATGCAGTGCGAGAGGGGTAGCACAGTGCTATTCATGGGCAACTTTGAGAACCGCTTTGGCCTCTTGGGGGCAGACACCTGTCCAATGCGCCACATGATAAACGAAAATAAAGAAACCCCTACAAGAGTTGGAACACCGTCAATTGCGTGGGGGGGATGGCTCTAGTCATATGCCTTAGTTGCGCAATAATAGGGGCCCGCCAGTCATTACTCAAGACGTCCTTGGTGGGGAAAAGGTCGGTGATTGTGGTCAGACCAATGTGCTTAGTAATATGAACTTAGGAGGCCTCATCTGTGATTATGAGCTTAGAAACCAATGTTGCAAGCGCATCCAGGTAGCGATTGTTGAAGCGAGGGACATGAGTAAACCGGACAAAATAGAATTGGGCGAAAAGCCTCTGGATGATTGCGCGGTAAGAGGCGAGTAAGGGCTCGCGAATGGCATACTCGCCGGTGACCTACTTGATGACCAGTTTGGAATCATCACAAATGCAAAGCTTGGAAATGCCCTTGTCTAGAGTGGCGAGAAGTCCAAAGATTAGCACCTCATATTCAGATTCGTTGTTAGAGTAGTGAAAAGCAAGTTTGAAGGCTGCAGTGATTTGCTGAGTTGGGGAGGTGAGAATAACTCCTACTCTGCCCCCCGTGCAAGTGGAGGAACCATCGAAAGCGAGTTGCCACTCATCATGACTAGCGTGTGCTATGGCGACCTGGAGCTCGTCGAGGGGGAAGGCGTTGTCAAGGGGCTCATGCCATTGCTCTGGGAATTGGGCGAGTCGATCAGCTAGTGATTGGCTCCTAATGGCCCATGGGGGGTGGCGCGTGATGTCAAACTCGGAAATTACTAAAAGCCAGTGTGATGCTTTGCCAGAAAAGATGGGCTTAGAGAGGAGATGCTGATATGGTTCGCAACATGTGATCAAATAAATGGGGTGGGCTATGAAATAATGTCTGAACTTCTTTGCTATAAAGGTGAGGGCGAGGCAGTGGCGCTCAATGGCTGAGTATCGAGATTCGGCGTCACGGACGAGGCGGCTAAGATAATAGATTGGTCGTTCCTGGCCGTCAATCTCTTGCGCGAGTAGGGCACAAATAGATTTATCAGTTGAGGTGAGATAGAGTAACAGGGGATGCTCCTTGATAGATGGGTGCATTGTGGTTGAAGAGCTAAGAATGGACTTGATCCGTTCGAAGGCTTCTTGATGGGTTATTAACCAGATAAATTTGGCGTTGCCTTTGATTAGTCAATTGAAAGGGTGAGAGACCTCTGTAAGTGCTAGAATGAATCTGCGCAAGTATGAAACTTTGCCCAAAAAACTCTTAAGCTGTTTGAAAGAACAGGGGTGGGGCATGGATGAGATTGCACGGGCCTTAGTGGGGTCGAGATCGATTCCTTGACGATGCACCAAGAAAGCCAGGAAATTGCCGCGATTGACCCCAAAGGCACACTTGAAAGGGGTCATGTGCAGGTTGTATAGGCGACATCACTCGAATACCTGGCGTAAGTCCTGGGGATGCTCCGCCAGCTACTTTGACTTTACCACCAAGTCATCAACATAGTCCTCGACGGTGCGGTGCAGCATATCGTGGAAAATGGCAGTCATAGCTCGTTGATATGTGGCGCCGGCATTTTTCAATCCGAAGGGCATGACAGGATCACGTGGGCAACTCTGAGGGTCTAGAAGACTAAAAAGTCCAATCCTTCCCTCGAGCCTTGCACCACGCCGCCAAAATACTTTTCTCCCAATAGTGGCATTAAATGCAGATTGACCGCCGGTTGGTTGAACTTGACACGGCATTAAATGTGATTGTAAAGGTTGCTGCCATAATGTGTATAACCCCATCATCTTGTTAACAGGGCCTTGCTAAGAGTGATAGCACTTCTTGACTTCTCATCCACCAATCCAAGATCCTCCTAAGTTTCCCGAACTTGGGCTCCTTGTAACTACGAAGGCCCTACCTTCCTTTCACGCTACGTATGAACCCATAGTATTCTGGTGGCGAGCTCTCTGGGGCTTTATTCTCTTGACGCATTACTACCTTTCGTGGCATCAGGACTTGAGGTGCTCGAGAGTTGGTCTCTCGAGGTTTGGTGTGCCTGATGTTATACCAGGGGTGCTCAAGGATTGGTCTCTCGAGGCTTGATGGGCCTGGTGCAATACCAAGACTTGGGGTGCTCGAGGGTTGGTCCATCGAGGTTTGATGGGCCTGGTGCGAAACCAAGGCTTAGGGTGCTCGAGGGTTGGCTCCTCGAGGCTTGATGGGGCCTGGTGCAAAACCAGGGCTTCGGGTGCTCGAGGGTTGGTTCCTCGAGGCTTGATGGGCCTGGTGCAAAACCAGGGCTTGGGGTGCTCGAGGCTTGGTTCCTCGAGGCTTGATAGGCCTAGTGCGAAAACCAAGGCTTGGGGTGCTCGAGGGTTGGCTTCTCAAAGCTTGATGGGTCAGGTGCGAAACTAGGGTTGGGTCCTCGAGGCTTGATGGACCTGGTACGATACCAGGACTTCGAGTGCTTGAGAGTTGGTCCTTCGAGGCTTGATGGGTCTGATGTGAAATTAGGGTTTGGGGTGCTCGAGGGTTGGTTCCTTGAGGCTTGATGGGCCTAGTGCGAAACTAGGGCTTAGGGTGCTCGAGGGCTAGTTCCTCGAGGCTTGATGGGCCTGGTGCGAAAATCAGGGCTTGGGGTGCTCGAGGGTTGGCTCCTCGAGGCTTGATGGGCCTAGTGCGAAACAAGGGTTTGGGGTGCTCGAGGGTTAGGTCCTCGAGGCTTTGAACTTTTCAAATTGTCACAGGGACTTTGGTTAGGCCTGCATTAACTTGTCAACATGCCATATCTGCCTTTAATAAGTGACACCCACAACAATTAGCCACAAATCGATAAGAAATGCAATTAAATTTTCTTAGTTTTATTCAATTTTATATTGTAAGCATGATATTTGTGGGGACCTTTCTTACTGACAAGGTAATTAAGTGAAACAGAGTCTGATGTTGATAGGGTCCACCAAATAAAAAAAGGTTGAACTGGTGGGCCCAACAAAAACAAGAACCGATACCTTGGACTATGGACTGGTGGCTCAATCTTGGTTTGGATCGGTCTTTCACATGATTTGATGAGTAGGTGGGCTTGATTAGAGGACAATTCAACCTAGAGTTTGAAGCGCATAAAATTGGGGGGTTTTGATTTGAATTAAAAATTATAGAAATTGTTGGGCATTTGTAATTAGTGGTGTTTGGATAAAATTGGGGGACTTTGATTTGAAGTAAAAATTATAGAAATTGTTGGGCATTTGTAATTAGGGGTGTTTGGATGGATGTTGAGGCTTGGTGAGAGAGAGAGATGGGAAGATTAGAATTGGTCTTTTACAGGGCAATTTAGGTATTGAAAAAATAATAATAATAAATAATAATAAAAAAATGTGATAAGGAAAAACGGGTTTACTCCGGACAAATGAGCATTACCCATACTTTTATTATTTTGTATTTTAGACCGTTGTCAGTATAAGAGAAAGTCACATCTTTATCATCCCTGCGCGCAGGATGCAAGCATTGTTCCGTTATAGGGCCCACCAGATAAAAATGGCTAAACTGGTGGGCCCAACAAAGACAAGAACCGATACCTTGGACATGGACTGGTGGCTCAATCTTGGATTAGATCGGCCTCTCACATGATTTGATGAGGAGGTGGGCTTGACTTGGATGACTATTTCACCTCGGTTCAACCCACTATATCTTCTCTCTCAATCTGTTAGTATTATATTGGTGGAGAAAAAAATTATTAATTATAAAAACTCCAACACATTTGACTTGTTTTTAGTGTTAATGGGGAATGATGTAGTCATCAATGATATCATCTTATATTAATGTAAATAATTAAATACGTCGACTTTGAGACTTTATATCACAACTCATCCAAAAATGACAGTAATTTATAAACTGAGTCAGTCTAGCCGATCGAAGAATTTTCAATCTGAAAATGGTAAGTGTCTTTGTCCGACCCATCTATCTCTTTCTCTTCTCTCTTTATTAGAAAGAAAATAGGATAACAAGGAGTAGCATATGACCATCTTTCTTAAATTCTCGGAAGGACTAAGAAAATGGAGAATTTGAACTCTTACTGAGTATGAAAAATTCTTAGACAGTGATCAAGAATACATCAAAATTCCAAGTTGTTTGCATTGAGAAAAGGAAAAGATTTAGAGGTTCATTTGTTTTCTTGATTTCTTTTGTTTCTATGGATTTTGAATCCATTCAACACCTCCTACAAATAGAGAAATGAGTCGTATAATTATGGATATAGCATGGTAAAACTTTAGCAGTACTTTTCAAAATAAAAAGTCAAGAGTTCAGATTTTCATAAAAAATAAAATTGGGTGTACAATTTTCCATTCCGACCCTGGTTTTGGTTGCTTTTGTTCTTTGTTCCTTCTCTCTCATGTGAGTTTTTTTAAAGTAATTGTACAATACCATTGGCATCAAATTCCATTACTTTGATTTCACTTAAAGGTAAACTTAAGCATCCCAAACCAAAGGATCAGTTTGGTACAATGGAAATGGAAGGAAAAAAGGGTATACTTGTAAATTTGTTATTCTTCAAAAAAGGGTATGATTGAAAAAAATGATGTGAAAGGATACAATGGGGTATGAATAGTAACATTTGTTATTCTTCAAAAAAATGAAAAGAAATAAAAGGAAATGCTAGTATTTTTAATAAAACTTTATTAATATCAATTTTGTCCCTTTTTATTTTTAATTTTTATAGAAGACAATACCTATAAAAAGAATATGATTGTAAATTTTTAAAAATAATATTTTTTAATTTTTTTTAAAATATAAATTAACCAAATAAAATAAGTAGTTAACATTATTATCATCTCATTTTCTTTTTTTTTTTTTTTTTTATATTTTCTCCTACTTAATATTATCCATTCTTTTCTCTTTCATGTAGCCTAAGTGTGAATGCTTGGATTGTTCCAACTTCATCAATTAGGTTCAACTTCCCCCGGATATAATTTGAGCTTGGACTCTCTAAGGTGGACCCAATTCTAGTATGGAATCAAGGGGCTAAGTCATTTTGAAAAGTCCCAACTCCTTTAAAATCAACAGCATGAATAGAAAATTAGATTGATTCACCGGGAATATGATAAAAATAGGAGTACAGAGTCTCCTACCTTTTTCAACGTTCCTAAATGCTGCTCTAGAAAAGTGACCCACTCACTTTGTCTTTCATCCGCTGAATAAAGTTAGCAAGTCAGAATCAGAGGTGGGATTGGGTGTAGTAACACGTCTTTTACTTAATTTAGAAAAAAATTATTATATAATTCAGAATTAAATGAGCTTAATTAATTACAAATAAAATTTTAAATAAAATTTTTTTATATACTAAATTATAATTGGTCGGATCATATAATCTGAATCCCCAAATTCCCCCTCATCAAACCAACCTTATCTTTTCATTCTTTCCAACAACCAAAGGGAAGAATTAGAAGATTGATTTCAACTTTCTCTCATCATTCTCTCCTTTGGTGTTGAATTCACATCATGTCAAATTCAAAATATCCAAGGTTGTAACTTAATATTAAAAGGTCCAGGGTTCAAGTTCTTAGAACAAATAGTTGCGTGAGTGTTTATATATTATCAATGTAAATAATAATAAAAAGAATACATAATAAATAAAAATAAAACAATTACACTTACCTCCCTTATAAATTGCTTAAATAATAGGAATATCTCATATAGTTTAAAAAATAGCACTAATCTTCCCTGTCAATGTTGACATTAATCATAATGTGTTAAATAACTATTATACCAATTGTACATTTAGTACTTTAATAGATGGACAAAATAACATTTTCAAACTTTCTAAGGTCCTTCTCAAGTTTAAGTAAATTTTGAGCAAAACGTGTTAGATTTTATGATATGGGAGCCTGGGACGTCAGTATTACTCTACCTAAAAAGAGAAGACCAAACCAGAGGAGAGATCAGTATTATATTTGAAACTAAAAGAAAGGACAATGTCAGTTAGACAATCAACAGGGACGTTCCTAAACAAAAAAAGAAAAAAATACACTGAGTGGCTATTCCATGTGTCAGCCCAAGGTCAAAGACACGAGAGGGTGTGCAACTCATCATTTGGGCTTCTATAAAAGTGGCTCAATTTGCAGAGAAAAAACAATCTGGACGAAGCCCAATGAAGAAGTGAGTTGGGCCACATGATCACATCAGGTCTTGGGTTGCCTTTGTGCTCATCTAAAAAGACAACTTTTTATATATATATATATATATATATATATATATATATATAGAGTCCTGATCTCTTGCTCCCCATGGAGCAAGAAAAATAATCCACACTTTTTATATAGACCATTAGATTAAATCTAACGATCATTTTACAAACCCACTTATGGCCTTACCTTTTAAACCAAAACCACTCTCACACTATTTTTAATTTCTATAATTAATTTTACCATTACCACATACTCTAACAATAAAAGGTAATTATCAAATTAAAAATAGAAAGCTTTGAAAAATAATTAATACCCGTATATTTTACTAATAAATTTGTTTTTATAAATATCTTTCGGCTTTCACGATTATGTCAAACAAAGAAGAATTACAAGAGAATTGATAGGGATTAGGCGGTAATCGCAGGCTAAGGTACTATACATTTTTTCTGTTTCCTCTTCTTTATTTATTTTGTTTTGAAAAAGTAAATTTGTTTTCCCTTTAAATCTTTAAGTTCTGTGTGGTTCCTTATTCTAATTACTATTCTTCAGCCTCCTTTGCCCAGTTTTATAAATCACTAATTCAATACATAAAGTAAAAATCTTGTTGCATTAATTTTAATTGATTCAAATATATTACTAATCCACATTTTGTATTACTAAATGTGTTCAAGAATGATTGTTACATAGGACTGTCCTTAAATTAAATTTATAGAACTATGTCTTAATTAATTTTAGTTGATTAATGCATTGTGTTTTATTCAAATATAACAATATTTAAATTCCATATTTCTTTTTAGGAATGAATGAAGCAGAAGAATTTGGAATAACACAAAAAGATGGAACATTCATTCCACAAGTTACGTATGAAAGAAAACCAAAAGAAGGGCAACAGTTTAAATCTTTAGATGATGCTTATGATTTTTATAACAAGTATGCACGAGAAGCTGGTTTCAGTGTACGGATTGATAAGAGTAAGAAGCATAAAGAAACTGGTGAAACGATTTGGAAACAATATGTTTGTTATAAAGAAGGAGAAACAGATGAAACTTATAGAAGAACAAAGAAAAAAGAAAAGCAGATGGTGGAGACCATTGGAGATAGTGGTAAGAAATTAGAAAGACAACGAGGAAATGTACGCGAAGGTTGTAAAGAAAGTTTAAGTGTAGGAAGACGTGACGGGAATTATACAATCAGACAATTCATTGAGAGCCACAATCATCCTCTTGCAACTCCAAGAAAAATACACTTATTGAGGTCACATCGAAATGTTTCAAATGTGAAGAAACAACTGGCTCAACAATTTGCAAGTGTAAATGTGCCTACGTGTCAACAATTTGATATCTTAGAGACACAAGTAGGGGGTATTGAAAATGTTGGGTGTACAGAAAGAGATCTTCGAAATTATGAACGAGATGTGAGGGAGAAGTTTAAAGGTCACGATGCAAATATGTTGAATGAATATTTCTTATCAAAACAAGAAAAGGATCCAAATTTTGTTTTTCAAATTGACAAAGATGAGGATGATAGAATGACTAGGTGTTTTTGGGTTGACTTCAGTGCAAGGAGAGCATACAATTTTTTTAATGATGTGGTTGTGTTTGACACAACATACAACACTAACCGTTATGGGATGATATTTGCTCCACTTACAGGGGTTAACCACCATGGAAAAACAATCATTTTTGGATGTGCCTTTTTAAATGACGAGACCACTGAGTCTTTCATTTGGCTATTTAAGACTTGGCTTAATGCAATGCCAAAGGGTCCTCCAAAAGTTATTATTACTGACCAGGATCCTGCAATGACAAAGGGTATAGCTCAATTTCTTCCGGACACATTTCATCGGTATTGTATTTGGCACATCTCAAAAAAATTTGTAGAAAAATTGGACTCAGTTGTATTTCGAGATTACTATGACCTTTTTAAATCATCTTTATGGAATTCAGATACAATAGAAGAGTTTGAAGAAAGCTTGAAAAAAGTAAACAACAAAATAACGAATGGTTAAGAACAATGTATACATTGCGTCATAAGTGGGTTCCGGCATTTACCAATAAATTCTTCTCTGCTGGTATGACAAGCAGTCAAAAAGCTGAAAGTTCCCATGCATTCTTCAAGAGGTATTGCTGTAGGGACAATTCTTTAATGGATTTATTATAGGATTTAACAGGGCAGTTGGACATCTACGACATGAAGAGGTGATTGATGATCATGTTGATATTAATGAACAGCCAAACTTGAAATCCATGGTCCCTTTGGAGAAGCAAATGATGGGTATGTTTACAAAGGAATACTTTCATAAATTTCAGAAAGAGCTTTATGCTAGTAATGCTTATGTATTAAATATTATATTGGATGATGAAAGTCAATGTGTTTATGAGGTCAGTAGGGTGCTTTATGGAGATCTTAAAGTTCGACAACTTGTGCACGATAAGCTAATTGATAATGTCAAGTGCAATTGTCAACGTTTTGAATTTGAAGGCATCCCATGCAAGCATATTCTAGCATTTTTTAGAATAAAGCAAGTTGTATTTTTGCCAGAGCAATATATTAAGAATAGATGGACAAAGTTTGCAAGAGTTGGAAGCATTACTGGTAAAGATGGTTTAGAGATTAAAGATGCACAAGATAAGTCGGTTTTAGTGAGACGTACTAAGGTATCTCAACTTGCATCAACTGTAATTGATGAAGCTGCATTCTCAGAAGAAGGTACGGAACTGTTAATAAACACGCTGGACACATTTCATGAACAACTGAAAGCCATGAATGCAAGTAAAATTGGAGGAAAAAATGCTTCATCATTAGAAAAGCAATATGACATTCATCTACAACAAACCTTTAACGATCATCTTCAAGTTAGAGCAAAAGGATGCGGTAAACGTTTGAGGTCATGAAGAGAGACTAAAAAGACAAATCGTAGACGTTGTCGTGGTTGTGGAGAACTTGGACAGTCACATGACAAAAGAAATTGTCCAACGCTTATTAACAAGTGAGCATTATCTCATGCTTATTATTATTACTTAATTATGAAATTAATTAATGTTTCACATGCATTTTTTTTCTCTGTTTCAGGTCTACTATAAATAGTGAGGAGAATATTTCTTATGGGTCAGAACATATGGATGATGGATGTAATTGAATGTGTTCAAGGTTTGAATTTGAACTTTTTTCATTATTTTGTAAATTTTTTTATTTGCTTTATTGGCAATAATAATTCCGTTTATTTCATCTAAGTCAATATATATATGCTTAATTATTAATTTGTTGTTGAATTTTTTTTTTTATTCAGGTTTACACGAAGTGGAGAGATATTTCATTAATTTTGAAAATATGAGGAAGAGCAAACAGATGGACTGGAGTTTCTAGGTTTTGAGGCCTAAATGTCTATTATTTGGCTTTACTTTTATTTGTCATGGAAGAGTTTACTTTAAGACTTTAAGGATTAAATGTTTTTAAATTTTGTTAAGTTTCAGCCCTTTATGAAGAGATTAAAATTTTTGTTTTTGTTTTATTTAGTTTAAGCTTTAACAATTTTGAATAAAACCAATGTCATCTTATTCCATTATTCAGTTGTATAATATTGTTATTCACACGCACAAATAATTATAACATAGTCCGTACATCATCATCATTCAATAATCAAACTCACATATTGAATAATGAATTTCACCAAATGTCTATCTTCAAATTGAATAGAAAGAACTTTTATTCAAATTTTAAATGAAATTTTCTTAAATTTCAATTCCAATTAATCAATTCATGCTCCAAAATACAACATTGCAGTATATTTGCAGTAAAGATGTTTCTTAGTAAAATATACGGGTATTAATTTTTTTTCAAAGCTTTCTATTTTTAATTTGATAATTACCTTTTATTGTTAGAGTATGTGGTAATGGTAAAATTAATTATAGAAACTAAAAATAGTGTGAGAGTGGTTTTGGTTTAAAAGGAAATGCCATAAGTGGGTTTGTAAAATAACCGTTAGATTTAATCTAACGGTCTATATAAAAAGTGTGGATTATTTTTCTTGCTCTATGGGGAGCAAGAGATCAGGACTCTAGATAAAACACCCCCCACGTCTTGCCAGACTTTAGTAATAGAAATTGACTTGACTTGGACAACTTGCCAAAATCCCTTAAAAAGAAGGAGGGAATTCAGTCCCCACGTCTTGCTTAGTTAACTTGTGAAAATAAAAAGTATACATTTACATCCAACCATAATTCCCTAAAGAATTAATATAATGTGGTAAGTTCTATAGAACTTGCCATGTCTCGAGAGCCAATTGGTTGATTTTATTTTGAGAATTTTCTTGAGGTTGCATTCATGGTAATTTTCCATGTCATAATTCCTTTTCCAAAATAGGAAATATGTGGACGCTTAATTTAAAGATGGCAATTTTAATACCCTGAATAGAATGGTTCAACTATTTCTTTCTTTCAAATGAGATCACGTAATTTTAATACCCTGAATAGAATTCTTCTAGAGTTGTGATCCAGCGTGTCAACTTCCATTGGAACTCACCACACACCTCCACTTACGTTCCATTGGAACTCGCCACACACCTCCACTTTATTTGTAGATCGTATTCAATCTTCCTTCAACAATTCCACCTCATATGTTCCTCTTTTGGACATTTAAAACACCAATCTAGAGTGGCAAGCTCATTGGAACTCGTCACATGTCGCCTTTCCATTAGGCCAAAAATAATGGAGTAAACACAATTCATTCACACTGTTTTGGCACCAAAGCCAACCTTTATTGTGTGTTAAGATACGAGCTAGTACATGCAAGTTCAATTTTTTATCATTTGGTTTCAACAATATAACGAAATGCATCATGATTATACTAGTGAGATTACATTTTGGTATTTTTGATTAATTTCATTTCATATTATTCATTTAATCTGTATTTTTCTTGCAAATGAATTTTTAATTGGTTGTGATATACTTTCTGTGTAATTTTTATTTTTATTTTTTATTTTGTTGGAAGGTCAAGTAGATAGAGATTTGCATCCATTTTTGTAATTTCACTGAAAATGAATTAGAAAATGTACCCAATAATTTGAGTTCCAAAAATTCGCAAAATAAACCCACCTTAAAAACTAAGATTTGAATTCAAAATAACATTGAGAAGACAACCAAGGACCTGGTGTGGCCCAACTCACTTCTTCATTGGGTTTCATTCAAACTATTTTTTATCTTCAAATTGGGCCACTTTTTAAAGAAACCCAAATGATGAGTTGCACCCTATTGTATCTTTGACCTTGGGCTGACCTATAGGATAGCCTTTTAGCCTAATAGAGCCTGTATTTTGAGATTTGTTCGGTAAAAATCTCGGTGTAGCACTGACCTACCTTGTCGTAAAATTGAACACTTTTATCTATTGATGTCATACTTAAAATTTGAGAACGCCTTTAGAAAACTTGAAATTGCTATTTTGTTCATATGTTAAACTAATAAAAGTACAATGGGTGTAATATTTATCTAACACATTCGAGTTAATGTTAACTAACATTAGAGGTTAGTGTTATTTTTGAAATTATATGGGAGGTTTATGTTATTTAGACAATCTATAAGGGATGTAAGTGTAATTTTTATTATTATTTTATCTTGACAAGAAATACACTCACACCCATTTTTTCAAGAACTTGAACCTGTTGGACCAATAGGGGGGTGAATTGGTCAAAACCTTCTTTCAAAAACAACTTCAAAACAGTTAAAACAATAATCAATGAACACTGCAACAGAAATAACAAGGAAACCCCTTAATCAGGGAAAACCTTGGTTCTTGGCTAATCCCAATTCGGTCATCCACTAGCTGCAAGTAAGCTATTACACACTCAGCTGTCTCACACTCTGCACACACCCTTGTCACAGAAGTAGACACTAGTTTTCACACACTCTACTCACACACTAGCTCAATAAGTGTATACACACACCCCCCCTGTCCTATGCAACCCTGCCTGGACTAAACAGGCACTCTAAGCTCACCAAATACATCAAGGTATATGAAAAACAATAAACACTAGCCCTTCCTTTAATTAAAATAGGCTAAATAATTCAGAATGCCAAATTACCACTTCATAACTTCAATTTGAAGCAATTAGTACTTGAGGGGTAAAATGGGAATTTCCTTTCATGAATCAATCATTAGCATCATATTCAGTCTTCATTCTTTGTGGTACTTATAATCATAACTTAAAACAATGAATTGTAGGATGAGATGATCACAAAATTCATAGCAGCCATGGTTCAGCAGAACTCAGTTTAAGTCCTAGGGTTTTAATACTAAAAATTGTAGCTAACCAAAATATTATCAGAAGGCCAACTTCAACAGACTAGATTCATCAAAATATACTTACAAGAAGATCAAAAACTCATAATACAGCAAGATACAATCAATTAGTACTTAAATCCAAGAATCTATCAGCAAATCAGGCAATACAGATGAGTTTACTGTCCAAGATTGATTTCAGCAGGTTTTTCAACAAAACTTTGTACTGAGCAAGTGTAAATAAGTGAATTATACCTGTGTCAGCCCTTAGACTCAACCACAACACCTTTGAACTCAAATTCACTACTTAATCCAGCTCTTGCAGCAGTAGCAGTAACTGCAGCAGCAGCATCTCCTCAGTAAAAATACTTCAGTAAATCTTAAATCAGTGAGATTTTATAGCATAAATCATCTTAAATTCCCTCAATAAATCAAGTTTATTCAATACTCTCGAGAGAATATAGGTTGCAGCTCAGTTTTTCATCTCATTCAAGGACCCTAACCCCTGAAAAGCTATAACAACATATTTATATAAAGCTACACAGTGCATAGAACTTCATACACCTTCAGAATACACCTGTCACCTTTGGCCAATCATTCAAACAGCACAATGCAGATATTTTCAGGAGCAGGATCCAATTACGAAAGGCCACCTCAACATATTTTGTCACTATGCATATTGAAATACATACATATACACAACAAGGCTATACACTCCATTCAGCTCAAGACTTAACCTCAAGAAAATGTAATATTCTTACATATTCACTTACTTTAGGACCACTAGAACGTTTCACACTCTTGTGCATAGTAAGGAAGAACCAAAATACCCTTGTAAAAGATTTTCAACTTCTCAGCAAAGCAAAAGTCCTGAGACTGTATAAATGGTAATGCAGATTCAATCTGGTCAATCTAGTGCAATGCAGCATCCTGAGCATACATATATGTATAAAATATAGCTAAGAAATGACAATGTTACCCTTGGAACCATTTTTGACAATTTACATGAACTAAACCCACACAATATTCAACTAATTAAGCAAGAACAGATAGATATACTGTGATAAATACATTAAGACAAATATGAAGGATAAGTCACTGATGAGAAAATGACTACACTATCCTTGAGACTTATTTCAAGCAACTTTGACAATGAAGAAGCCCTTTGAAGCCACTGCCACGCAGATTTTTGACATTAAAGAGGCATATAATGCTTAAGGGACTTCAGGACCAACAATCTCCCCCTTTTGACTTTAATGAAAAAAACTTCAACCATAAAATAAGACCTCAATGAAGTAGACTCAACCAAAGTAATACGAAGCATAGTAACAATAGCAGTAAAGTAAGAGAAGGGATAACTGAAAAACTACCCTTATTTCAGTCCATTCTCCCCCTTTTTGACATTGAAGGACAAAAGGTGAGAAGGACCAACAATGAGAGGCTTAGAAAGGGGGTGGAACAACCCTGAGAAGAGCTCTAAGGGTTAAAAATCTTTGAGGGAGAAGAGGTTTGGTCAAGATATCTGCCAGTTGATTTTCAGTTGGTAAATAAGTGATGTCAATGAGACCTTTCTGGACTTTGTCTTTAAGAAAGTGATACTTGATGTCAATATGTTTGCTCT